GAAAGAAAAGGTGCGTGCACTGTGCTTCCGCCAAAGCAAACAAAATTGCTTCCCGCCAGCCCGGCCCACACCCATTCTTTCTGGGACGCAGGCCTTGTCTGTCCTCCATTTGTTGTATCTTCTTCCCTGCTCCTTTCCCTTGGTACCTCCGGATGGGCTACATGGCCTCCCTCCCCTATGGTCGTCGTCGAACGTCATCGAAAGCCACCAGCCCCTCTCCGACGGGCCAAGCCATGCGCTGCTGCAATACAGACGCCCGACCTTCCTCTTCTCGTCGCGTTTTTTCCCTCCTCGTCCACCCCCTTGTTGCTATCCGCCCTCCCGTTACTTCTTGGACTTCTTCTCGTTCAAGACTCGCTTCACAATCTTTTGCTCCTCGATTAAGAACGCGCGCACAATCCTGTCCAAGGTGAAAATAATGGAAGGAACAAGGCGTTAAAAAATGTCACTAATACACCTTCAAGCCTTTCTTTTCTCCGCTTTCTCCTCTTCATCTTCCTCTTCCTCCTCCTTGTCAAAACCATCCTGCAGATTTTAACCCAGCGTCAGAACGAAAGACTAATTATGTGTTTTGCTTCGCTCACCGCTTCCTTTCCAGGAACGCGTCTCACGAGTGCAGAGGTAGGGATTCTCATTCATCATTCCACTTCATCCTCCTTCAGTCCCTCCTCTCTCCTTCTAACCCTCCTCTTCCCTCCTCTCCTTCCACCACACCTACGCACCGACTTCGGACGCAGGAAGCGCATCGCGATCCACCGTAAGCCCTAGATACCGTGCGCTCTCGCTTGTGTAGGTTCTTGTATTCCTGAGGGTATGAAAAATGCGGAGGCAGGAGGGGAGAGGGAGGGTGACTACAACGAAAGTATGGCCAGAAAGCGCTCCATTTTCACTTCGCCCTGAGTACATTGCATGGTCCGCCAGAATGAAGTCAACCGAAAGCCAGATGTCATGTGCTAAAAACGCAAATCAGACAGAGTGTGAGGTAGAAGAGGGGCTGGAGGCAGACGAACTTCCTCCTTACCTTGGTTTTGAGGTGCTTGATGCCTGGCAGGGCAATCTTGCAGTCACCACAGTGAGGGCCGCGCGTTTTCTTCTTAATTTGATGAAGAGTCAGTCGGCCACCTAGAATGTCGCAAAGTGAGGTGTGCTCAGGGTTTTAATATCAAATTCTTAGGCATCATGACGGACACCCTTTCCTCAAGAAGCGTACCTGGAGTCTTGACAATAACACGCCCATTTGACCTGGTCGCGTAAGCATGACGCCGTTGGTAAGTGACTCGCGTGTCCTTGCCCATGGTACAATGTCTTGGACTGATGTAAATGGTGGGTTGGTGAATATGTTAGGAGGAACGGTGAGCGCTCTCGCTAGCCTAGAGAAAAAAACATAGCAGAAGGGGGGGGCTCTCGATGGCTGGAAGAAATGCAAATAGTACGAGTGCATCCATCCCTCCGGTCACAGCCCCTGACCATTCCATTAACTAGACGCAAATTATCGCATTCCTTCCTCCCGACCCCGAGACGACCGACACACAAAATCGCACAGGACAGTGTGCACATAATGGTGGTGGTGAGAGCCACACAAGGGAAAAAGACGCTCTCGGTCCACACGATTACTTCCTTTTCCACCATGCCAAAGGAAAACCATTTTTAACCCTGAATTTTGGACGTTAAATGCCCGAATAAAACGGCACATTTGATGTGTTTTTTTTAATATCGAGTAGCTTGAGGGATAGTGATGCCGTCGTTGGTCTACTTACGTCTTGAATGTTTAAGAGTTTCAGACAAAGTGCAAACTCTTTCAATGCGACATCCAGCATGAGATTTGCTCTTTGTACGGTCAAGGCACAGCCTGAAATCCGATATAATGACACAAACAGTTATGCAACCATGTTGTTTCAAAGGTAATTCAGTAATGCTTACACGAAAAAAAGGGTCTTCTGCTGACACTGTACAAGAGTCGTGAAAGGATCGGAAATATAAAAAAGTATTTTCTCCAACTCAATATCACGGTAGCTCGCCTTGGTTTCCACACTTCTATTCTTTCTTTGCAAGATTTAAGAAGTTTGAATGACCCCATCTCCACTTCCAAGCGCTGTTGCCCGATACATACAAGCCTTTAGTTCGCCTTCCCCTCGCCCTTTTCCAAGCATGGATCGGGAGAACTGTTAGAAATAGGGTTCAGTTTCAAGCGTCGCTTTCTATCCTCCCACAACATGCGTTTCCACAGAGCTTGAGTATTGAGTAACGAAGCTTGAGGCTAGCTTTGCAGAGCCTAGTGGGCAGCCTGGCGGGCCCGAAGCTTGCTGTAGTACTCCTTAATCTCCTCACGTTTCTTCAATGCGCGTCGGTGCGTCCCCAGGCGCCTCTTGGCGAATTTGTACACCTATAGATGCGAAAGGTAGATAGAAAACACAACTTGACATGAGCATGAAAGCCTACACGATTGAACATAGAGCACGGGTCCCACTTGAGACAGGGAAAGACGAAAAGCACTTCAGTGCTCTAAAGATGTCAAAATATCTCGAGATTAAAAAGTCAAACAGAAAAACCTGCAAATTAAACAAACATGCGTATGTCATAATGCTCAATCAATATCCAAAATTAATCTACGAAAGCCCTCCAGACTGCCTACCTTCTTCTCAGCGCCCGAGCCACCAGTCTTGATCACGTCCAGGATGCGCTTCTCGTAGGGCATCAGGCCCACAACATCCCGAACAACCTCGCGTACAAGCTTGACTTTCTTGACCAGGGTCTGCAGAGCACAAGATGGGAAAGGTGAAAAGGGGTGAGAGGTCTCTACGGGTAGGCTGCTCTTTGTTGTTTCGCAGCACCGCCCCAGGAAAAAGTATCGGAGGTGGTCAAAACTGCCAGAAAAAGCTTACTTGTCCCTGATAATATTCTACACATTGTCTGTGTGCTCTCTCTTTTTGCTCACTTCGTCTTGGATTTCCAAATTCCCACAACCAAACTTACCCCCTTGCGACCCGCTGGCCTTTTGGGTACCTCGAGCTTCTGCACCGGGTAACCCTTATTAATCCCACGAATGGTTCCAGTGCTAGACATGGTAGACTGTTTAAAGCGTGTCGGGAAATGTATTGGACATGCGATGAGGCCCTCCGGTATCAGAGAGAATTGTGAAGAAGAGAACTTCTCCAGTGTTACCATGAAAGAGCGAGGAAGGGGCCGCATAATGGTATCCGTACATCCCTATAACCTGTCCAAAATGCACCTTCCACGTCCACAATCCCACCATCAACGCACATACCACGATTAAATGGCATGGAACACCTTGCGCACGCCCCAGGAGCGCTGGGTAGCCCCAAAGAGGGTGGATGGCCATGGCCCTATCTCC